GCCAGGCTCCTTGCGGTTCGCAACATCGCACACACATTCATCGAGTACCCCGAATTTCATGCTGTCATATTGTCCTGTAACTATATGGCCCGGGACGTCCTCCTACGCAGCCGTAGAGCGGTCCCAAAGCTTCTCGAAAAGACTTTCGCTCAACACAAACAAGGCCTTGTCGAGAAGCTTCGTAATTCTCTCTCATCTATGGTTCACTTCACCATTGACATGTGGACCTCATCGGAACAGAAAGCGGCATACCAGGCAATCGTGGCCCATTTCGTAGATGCGGAGACGAGAGAAGTCGCCCAAGCGTTATTGTCGCTGCGTGAGTTCAAAGGAAGCCACAGCGGGGAATTGCAAGCCAAGGTTTTCCTCGAAGTTGTCGAGGAGTACGACCTCAGCGAGAAAGTTGGCTACTTCACGATGGATAGCCACGATGCTAACGATACCATGCTTGACGATATCGCAAAAGAGATTGAGGGGGTGGATCCAGTTGCCAGGCGACTACGCTGCAGCGGCCACATCATGAACCTCATCGTTCAAGCTTTCCTCTCTCGAAGCAAGGCAAAGAAGATCCAGAAGGATGAGCAGGAGGGGATTGATGAGGCTTATGAACGGCTGTGTAGGCAGTCTGACAAAGACGGAGACAGAATTGCGAAGGCACAAGCTACCGATGAGTGGCGGGAGTTTAGTGTTCTGGGCAAACTCCACAACCTGTGCATATATTCAAAAAGCTCTACCAGCATTTACAACGACTTCAAGGCCAAGGTTGGCAGGTCTTTGCCGAGGGACAATGATACACGTTGGAACTCATGGTTTCGACTCATTGACGTGGCTATTGAGAGGCGGGCAAAGCTCATGGACTGGATTCAAGAAAATCGCGCCAAAATCGAGAAAGATGCACTGGACCACAACGACTGGAATGAACTCAGTGATATTCATGCATTCTTACAGGTATTTCAACAAATCTCCATACGCCAAGGCCGGGAGAACACACTTGATGAAGTTCTCTCGCACATGGACTTCCTGCATGAACACTTCACCCAGACTAAAAATCGGGCTTTCAGTAACCCGCGCTTCTACGCGCGTTTTCATGTGGCTTGGCTCAAATTCGAGAAGTATTACCAGCTTACCGAACAAGCTCCCGTGTACGTGGCTGGTCTTCTCCTCCACCCAACACTCCGAAAGAGCTATTTGAGTGAGCAGTGGAAGAGAAATCCGGCGTGGGTTACCAACGCCGTGAAGGCCGTAAGGAAGATTTGGTCTACCGAGTACAAGGGCTACCAGCTACCAGACAAACAACAGGAGCAAGAGCAAGAACTCGATGAGTTTGATCGCTGGAGGCAGAAGGTGTACAGCAGAGCGAATGAGGTGAAGGATGAATTTGACCGCTTCATATGTGTAAGTACTGAAGCTTTCTAGCGGCCGGAATCTGACAATACTTCGTAGGGCTCACAAGTCGGGATCGGGCAACAAACAGCCTTACAATGGTGGCTTGAACCGACTCAGCGACAAAATTTCCCCCTCCTCAGCCGCATGGCTATTGACGTATTCTGTATCCCCCCAATGTCTACGGAGGCAGAGCGAATCTTCTCAGGTACAAGACGGCAGGTTACGTGGGATAGAAGTAACATGTCTGCCAGGATGGTGGAGGCATGTGAATGCATTAAAAGCTGGATAAGTGTTCCAAAAGGAAAGAGCAGGCCTCTTCTTGCTGGAGTGTTTAAGAGAGCGGAGGATGTTGACGCAGCTGTAAGGATACTCCAAGAAGAAATAGAAATAGGTGAGGGGGCAGAAAGAGATGGCGAGCCTGGGGAATTGGTAGTGTAGGTAGTAGACAATGCCAAACATCCCGGGATAAGGTGTAAATATGTCGGCGCCGACGTTTGTCAAAGATTTGGACTGTACCTGGATATTGTTTCATATGAAACCGAAACCGTTTCATATGAAACTGAAACTGAATAGGCGTCCGGCTTCATGAAACTGAAACTCACCCCAGTTTCAGTTTCATAGCGTGGCTATCCATCACTG